GATGCAAATAAGGGGAGTTGCGGGGAACTGAGAAGACCATCCGGAGTTAAACGCGAGCCCAAATCGCACCCATACCAATGTAGATAAGCCTTTTTTGTGATTGTTTTGGCTATAAGGGATGAGGGCAGGCGGTTGGTGTCGAGCTGGCTGTGCGAGCTCAGCCTAGTCACTCGCCCCACTCAGAAACTGAGAAGTCTTCCTCGGGTATGGGAACTCAATACACCTAGGTTTGGGAATACAGACTATTGGGGAGTAGATTGCTCACCCTTACGTGGTGAGCCGAGCATCCTATCGAGTTGTCATTGGAAACCGTGATTTCAGTCGAATTTAGCCTATGTTTAATATTTAAATAACATTAATTAATTTGTGTCGTGTGTGTACCAGGAAATAGGACGTTCGAGCAGATCTAGAAAGGTTGTTATGCAAAGGAGTTGTAAGTATTTTCGATTATGAAACTATATTAGGATTTTTAAATTTATGCATGTATATTATTAATTTTGTGTATATTTTAAACGTAGAACATATACTAACCCAATTTTTGATGAAGAACGGAACCCAAACCTATGACGAATGAACCCTAACTTGTTTAAATTTTATGAGGAGATGGAGACCAGAAAAATCAAGGACTAAGGAATATCTGAATTGATGATAAAATATAAAATTTAAATTTAATATAAATCACCAATAAAGCAGAAGGTTGAGAAAAAGAAAAGAAAATAACGAAAAAACTGAATAAAAATAGAAGAAAAATATGTATGGTTATGAAACGATTAATTTAAGTAAAGTTTAAGAGAAAAATGGAATAAGAGATAAGTAAATAAGAATTTAGAAAAGAGAGTATGTGAGTGAATATGGTATGGACTTTAAATACCTTCTCGATTAGTTTAAATCGAGGAGGGGAGTGTGCGGGTGTAGTTGAAGTTCAGCGGACATGGTGAACTTGCACGAGGATAGAGTTTGAAACTTAATCCAGACTTGGATAAGTATTTGTGAGTGTGAGTCACCTAACAAATGTAACTGTTGTGGCCATTATGAGATTTTGTGTGTGTGTTATCCATACGATGGGGGGGGATCCATTTCACCTCTCCACGATGACGACATAAACAACATCACACGATGAAATCTAAAATATAACCTTTCGAGTGCATATATGTTCTTTTGAGTGTATGTTGTTATACTTCAAAATTGCAAATAATATTCAAGTGTATATATATTTTTTCGAGTGTATGTGGTTATACTTCAAGGTTACAAATGATATTCGAGTGTATATTTATTCTTTCGAGTGTATGTAGTAATACTTTGAGGTTATAAATAATATTCGAGTGTAATTGAGGAATTCGATTGGAAAAATATAAAATTAGAATGTTCGAACAATTGTATTTAATAAGTAATTTCTGGTTTAGAAAATGATAAAAACTGCAAATAAATTTTGCATTGAAAATATTAGTATTGCATTTGTCCTATATTATGTGTTCTTGTATGAGATCTTATCTGGGTTTGGAAGAACATAAATACTTATTGAGTTGATAAAACTCATTAAATTTTAACATGATATTTTTTAGAGGAGAAAAAAGAGCCAGAATCGTTGTCGGACGAGTAGAACTTGTGAAAATATTCATATTCATGTATATTTTGTGCATATTAAAGAAATTTTCGTTTTGTTTTATTAAACTCTAAATTTTGATCTCATGTCCTGTATATATAACTACTGTATATATCGCATGAGATGTTAGGTTGTATGTAAAGAGCTATGCATATATTTATTTTGTGAGCCCATTGTATGAAAATAACATGAGTAAGATTGCGCCTCATATCGAATTTAGAGTATTACAGTCAATTTGATTAGTGAGCACATTATTTCCACATAGACATCTATCTAGTAGTATTAGATAAGTTATTTATTATAAAAACTTTATTCATAAAGTTTTCAAAATATAAGTTTTGATTCAATAGAAATTACTGAAATAATCAATATATACATTTTGAGATCGTACAAAATTTTTAAATTTTTTAATATAAATTCATATATTTTAATAATAATGTTTTATATCAATAATAACATACTAATAATATAATAATCTTTTAAAAAACATACACATAAGATGACTAATTCAACTCAAGTGCACACTCCCATAAAAATATAAGAAAATATAAATTATTCGGTAAAATTAAAGATAATTAGAATAGACATTACTAACTAACTTAAATTAAGAAGGTTGATAGATGGAGATCCATGATGATCCATTAAGCTTAGCTCCAAATCAAAAGCATGTCTGCTCTAACTTCTTAAAGAAGCAGCCAGAAGGACTTCCACTTGGCAGCAGAGCCAACCTCACGGCAAACTCAGCTCCTTCAGCAGCCGTTAGCGAGGCAAGTCCGCCATTTATGTCGGTCTTGACGAAACCAGGACTAACAGAATTTACGCAAATGCTTGTATATTGTTTGGCAAGAATCCTTGTGTAGGCGTTCATGGCTGCTTTTGACAGCTGATAAGCAGAACGTGGCCACCCATTGGCTTCTAGCTTGTCTTCCTTGCAATCTCTTAAGAACTCATTTATTAAATTATCCATTTTCTCCATTGTAATCTCCTCAACATCGTCACAACCAAACACTGCTTCAACTCTTTCACTTTCTATGTTCTGAAATTGCAATTTAATCATTAATTGATGTACTTATAACCAGCTTTTTTGTAGATAATTAATATTTTGGTAAAAATATAATTAATATTTTACTTTAACTTTTTTGTATTTTTAGATATATATGCCTTCTTGTCATATTTTTAAAAATAACAGTTTAATCTTTTTATTATTTCACAGTTATAAATTTTTTTAAAAAAATTTACTGTTAAGTAGATTGGCAACGGCAGTTTTGTTATTTTTATATTTTTTCATTATATTAGTTAAAATAATTAGTTTATTTTATGTTTTTTAAATAACATTTACTATTAAGTAATATTTAATATTTATAATGTGAATCGACAACAACAAATTAATAGGTATTTCAGTAAATGAAGATGGCATTGTTACCTTTTAAATTTGATTACTTAATTTTTAATAAAATTTTAAAATAAAGTCAAATCTAGCTACCAACTTATATACACTCTAATGATACTCAAATGACTCTAACCTTGAGTTTTTACATAATAATTATAAATTATTTAAAAAATAGTTAAAATATACCCGAACTTGCAAAACTTTTTAAGTACATATGTAGTGCAGTTTACTACATATATATAAAAGATACCTGCAATAATCCCAACAAAGATGAAACATTGACAATGTTTGCAGATTGAGATAAGCAGAGGAGGGGAAGAAGAGCTTCAGTGGTCCTTTTGGTACCATAGTAGTTGGTTTTCAGGCACGCTTCTTCCAGTTCATAACTCCGGATAGCCATTTTACTCCAATCCACATGCTTCCCAGCCGGCTTCATTTACGTATAATATACATCACCAACCAATTAAACTACTTTCTTAAAAATGAAACACATACCTACTAGCTAGACATATCATATACATACACACACACAAGCACCCACACATAACTCACCCATCCGCCGCCGGCAGCTTCACTAGCTTTTGCCAGCGCATTGTAGTCTAAAATGATTCCACTGATCCCTGCATTGTTCACCTGCAAAATAAAGGATATTTTTCATGTTATATATATGTGTAGGTATGTATATATATATATATATATGTATGTATGTACCAAGATATCAAGTTTTCCAAACTGGGTTTTGATGAAAAGAGCGAGAGAAGCTATGCTGGAGGGATCAGTGACATCAAGCTGGTGAAAAGTAATATCATTATCATGGTCTGATCTGATTTTGTCAACAGCTTCAAGGCCCTTCTTCTCATCTCTGGAGGTTAGAACCACGGTTATCCCTTTAGAAGCCAACTGTTTACATATCTCAAAACCAATGCCCTTGTTTCCTCCTGTCACCACTGCATGCCTGCACCAAATCACACATATATAACTATATCATCTATATACATATATATGTGTGTGTGTATATATATACATATAGATGTTATACGTATGGCCTATCGAAATTTTTTTTAATGTAATTAGATATTCAGTACGTTTTGGTTGAAAGGTTATTCTTAGATGCTTGCTCCATTTTGCTTGCCTTAGGGGGAATCTAGTGAGTAGTGTTGGAGAATTTAGGAAACTAAAAAAGAACAGAGGAGAACGTATTTCACAGTTTGCTGCCTGTTTGGATGAAGAAATCGAGGAATTAGATGGAACATATATAGGGCTTCAATGTTGGCTAGATCAAAATATTTATGACAATATTTAAGTTTAAAGAATTTAATGTGTCTATTTATGAAGTATGGATCATCGGTTCACTGTTTGTGAAATAATAATAAAATATTTTAAAAATATTTAATATATATATTTTTAACTAATCATGTTCGCTGTCATTTAATAATATTTTTATGTTTTAACTAACTCCTCTAACACATAATAAATACTATTCATAATTTTTGAAATGAAAATATATTTTTAATTTTAAAAAATAATAATCTGCATATAATGTGTATAAAGATACGTTTTTTAAAAAATAAAACGTTATTTTTAAGATAAAATGAGGTATCATTTAACACTTAAGCTTCTCCGACATACATGAAACTCAAAATATATGAGTTGAAAGATTAGATTGCGCTTATAATATTTGAGCTGAAAGATTAGATTGCTCTTATAAGTATAAGATATTATCATGGATATCATTTGTCTTTCTAATCAAAACATTTGCCATTTGTTTACAATTTTTAGATATATATGTATCTATATTATAATAAAGTGATGTTATTATATATATTAACTACATTCATTAAAATTTTTAGTATGTTTATATCTTACAAAAATTATCTTATTATTTTGAAATCTTGTTAAACAGAATTATTTTATTGTATGTTGGGGGATATAAGTGTTATGCTCACGATCTAATTTTTCATGTAATATATTGAATACATTATTATCATTTGGCAAATTATTTTAATATATGATAATAGTATTTTTATTATTATATCTATTATTTTATCGTTTAATTTATGTGATAAAGTTTGTAACGACTCCGGAAATCCAAAAGGAAATATATAATAATTTAAGTGCGGAAGCGAAATAAAAAGTTAAGGTTTACATTCCTTACACAATAATTTAAAAATATTAAACAGTATTACGAAATTAATCTCTGAAAGAAATACGAGAAATAAGAAAAATAATAGAAATAGAAATATCTAGCATCTACTCGCAATCTTCTTACAAATCGAGCTCTGGAACCAGGTTCTCTTGATATGAAATGATTAATAATGGTGAACTATATTAGCTCAGTAAGGATATTACACTAT